GCTACATCTTTGTCAGAAAGGCAAGTTATAGGGAAGCAGTTGGTATGGTGGCAAGAGTAAACACACCCTAACTAGTTTCAATTTTTTTTTCTTTTTTTTTTTTTTTTAGACAGGGTCTTGCCATGTAGTTCAAGCTGATCTGAACCGACTGTGTATCCAGGCTGACCTTGAACTCATGGTGTTCCTTCTGCCTCATTTTCTCGAGTGCGGGCTTACAGGGTGCACCACCACACTGAGGGACCAGCTCAGCCTTTAAGGAGTCCTAGGAGAGTATTCAGTTTGTGTTGTTCAGCAGTAACTGAGACAATTCTTTTAGATTAGATGATGTCACAATAATAATTGACACTAAAAGGTAAAGCTTTTGTTTCATTGGCTATTTTTTTTCCCCTATACTCATGAAGGAAGACAGAATTCATACCTTTAAGCAAAAGCTCCTTTGTTTTGTGTTGAAAAATTAGCAATAAATTAAATTAAGAATTTTTTTAAAAAAGGTATTTGGTTGTTACAGGGTCTTACTACACAGCTTGGACTCACAGTGATCTTCCTGTTTCAGCCTCCCCAGCACTGGGATTATAGGTATATGCCATGACTGGACTCTGTGGCTGGCTCAGTGTGCCCAGGGGTGGGACTGGTGTGGATGTGGTGCCAGGGATTGAATGGGGGTCCCTTCGCTTTTGCCTAAGCAGGTAGGTGCTTTAGTCCACTGAGCTATCTTACCAGCCCTAAATTAAGAATTTAGTTTAAAATTCTGATAGATCTTTCTCATACTTGCCCACACTTACCTTCTCAGCCTTTGCCAGAAGTTCTCTATTTAGAAAAAATACAGAGACTAGTGTCACTAGCATAGCTCGTTAGAACTGATGTAGTAAAGTGACTTCAAGCAGAACTCATTCTAAATAATAAAGCAGGCTTGATACCCACAGCCTTCTATGTAGTAGGGCAAGGGGGGGATAACCCGCCATTAGTGGGGATCAGTGGGGTTCTGCCCTTGGCCCCGACACCCACCTGGCACACACAGTGGAGGGGTTGAGGAGGAAAGCCCGTTCTTCTCACCATGCTCTCCAGGCGCCTGCTCTTCAGCTTCTTCCTTCCCACAGTCCCAGGCCTTTCCCAGGGGTGTGGTGGGAACAGCCCAGGGTTTCCTATGGGTGGACAGGAGTGCTCCACAGGGGTTGGTGAGAGGTGGTGTTGGCTTTTCACTGGTTTCGCTTGACCTCTGCGTATGGCATATCTCAATCTCTGGGTCTTTTGCATACTCTTCCTTTTCATAGGGAGCTGCCGGCATCTGGCCTAGGATTTTTTCTTCTGCTTGACTTTTGGAACTTTCAGTATCACCGTCTAGAGGTTTCTGGTACCCTGTGCCTCTCCTGGGTCGGTATTTCTGCCCCCAGCTCTCTAGAACATGTGGCCTAAGAACAGGGTTTTCCTGAAAGTGCCTGAGGACACTTCTGTGAAAATGCAGGTCACTGGCAGGGAGCACACTCCTGCCGTGGTAAGGGGCTGGGCCAGCTGGGATGCTGGAGTAGGGAAAGGGTACCCCTAAGCCAGCTAGTCCCTTGGGGTTCACCTTTTCCATCCTCCTTTGCTGGTAAATAGTGTACATTTCCAGTTCTGACCTAAAAATAAAATAATATGTAACCAAGAGAGAGAAAGATAAAAGCCATTACCATTTCATTGCCTTCCCTGGGATAGCGCCTCTGCTTTCCCTGTGCTCAGTGTACGAGATTTGTTTCATAGAAATGGGAATTCCCACCAAGGCCAGTAGGGAGGAGACTTCGGAGGAAATCTGAAGCTGAAGGGTTTGCCTAGTCTCATGATGGGAAGCCAAGTCTTTAGAAAGTTACCTATAATAAATATATGGTGCAAATTTAGCAGAAGTGGAGTGAGTGAGACTGCCCAGGCCCGCAGGATCCTGAATAGACCCAGAGCCCAGCCCGGCGAGTGAGTGAGACCACCCAGGGCCCGCGGATCTTCATTCGACCCAGAGTGCAGGCCCAGCAAGGAACCCTTCAGCAGAACTCCCTGTAAAGAGACTAGAGGAAAACCCACCCAGCTGATTCAGGAGCAGAACATCTTGCCAGAGAGACACAAAGGGTTCAACTCTAATGCGTGCAGCAGAAAGAAGTGGAGCACAGCAGCCAGATCCAAACAACACCCACCTGGAGGAATCCAAACTTCATAGATCCGGATCTGGGGCTAAGGTAATAACTCTATCTAAGCTCTACACCAGAGGTCAGAAGACAGTGGTATACAAAATGACAAAGAGAAGGAACAAAATGCAGTCTCAGGCCCCGAGTCCACCCAGTACAAATGCACA